CCAGCCCCCTTCATCGCCTGTTTCGGTGGTAGGGGGTCTGCTTTTTTGATTTATTTAATTTTTTGGGGGAAGGGGGGGTGTCAGTGTTCCCTTTTGTGAAGGGGGGTAAAGGTGGGGGTCGGCGGCCGGAGCCGGGGGGGACACACACACGGGGAGAAGTTCAGAGCCGTTCCCGGGGGTGGCTGCTTTTTGTTACCTACCCGGAAAAATAACAGCCCGGGTAAGGCTGTCTTCGCGTAGTGTTTTGCCTGTAGGGGGTGGGGGTGTAAGGGACATATTTATTATGATTATTTTTTTGTGTCGTGTCCCCCCCTCCCTTCCTTGTTTTCCTGTTGTGGCTATTTCTTCCTCAATGCTCCGTACGTAGGGTTTCTTCTCCCTCCTCCCCTCTCCCCCCATCTTATTTGTCGCTAGATCCTCTCCTTTTTGTAAGTGTGAAAGGGTCTGGAGGGGTTTGATGTTTTGCATTTCAATCAAAATGTGATTTTTTTTTTTTCTTTTTTTTTTTCTCCCCCCCCCCCCCTTTTTTTTTTTTTTAAATCAGTTGGAATTATTGTTTTGCCAGCCTCTTCCTTTATTCCCTTCACACACACACACACAAAAAGCCATGTAAAGCCTTTATGGTGTATGGGCAAAGCAGCCCCCTCTCCCCACACTTCCCCTGAAAGCCGGAGCAGGGTGCTGGGCTCGGCAGCCTCCATTATGGAGCCCTGGGTTTGGTTTTGCCTCTGGCCTTTGCTAGCCAGGGCATCTTCTCACTCCAGACCCCCTCAGGTGGGGACCGAGGTGGCCCTCCTGTCGTGTATGATGTGTGTGTCCCCCCCCTCCCCGAGGTTGTCCCTGCATCTTCTGTCGCCATCGGTGCTGGCACAGCGGAGCGAGATCAACTCTATCGTGTGTTTATATAATGGCCTTTGTGCCTGTACGTGGGTATTTTATATTATATAAAAGGGGATTGGTGCAAAATGGTGTGTGTGTGGGGGGAAGCAGCGCTGGCGGCTGGATAGTAATTTTTTATTATTATTATTATTATTTTTTTTTTTTTTTGAGGCCGTGTAGTATATTGTAGGTGTCTGTGTAATGTTGGGTATTCACATATGCAAACGCTCATGCAGAGCACACACTCGCTTTGAGGTTGTATGTGTGTTAATCCCGTATGGAAAACTAAATGGTTTAACTAAATGATTGCCCTGCAGCCCCTGGGAACGCTGCCTTGGCTGGAGAGCACAGGAAGGGTGGCAGGGCAGGGGGGGTTAAGCCAGCTGGGAGGGAGGGATGGCTTTTTGAATTTTACACGTATCAATAATATAGAGAGAGTAATAAAAATTTCATATATAATAATATAAATTCTACACGTAAAATTTTCTTTCTTCTTGTAATAGTAGACCTGAAGATCAGATGATAAGGGTGGAAGCTGTAGGTGGGGGGGGGGGGTACGTGTGTGAAGTAGAAGGAAGCGTGGTGGATGCTTCAACTCCTGGAGCAGTGGTTGGAGGGGGTGAGATGTGTTTGTCCTGCCTGCTCCCCTGACTGTGAATCCAGGCCGTTGCTCTCTGGCTGTCCTCCACCCAGGTTTTCTAAGCACACTTGTGTGTGTGTGTGTGTGTGTGTGTGTGTTGGGGGGGGAGATAAGGCAAAATGACAGCTGTGCGAGACCCATGATTTTTCACTCCCATTATCCTGCTTCCCCGCTTCCACCCCCTCGCCCTGGAGCATTTTTCAGATTCCCCTTTGGAGCCTGTTGCTTAATCAGCCTAGAAGGGCTGCTGCCTCGCTGTGCCAGAAACCCTTCTTAACCTGGCTCCTGCCTGTCCCAGAAGGGTGGGACCAAAATTTCGGCTTGGGACTGTGGGGTGTTGCAGAACAGTAGCCACTGTGCCAGGTGCGGAAGGGGACCTCAGAGGGACCTGTTGCCCAGCCTCTGTGGCTTGCTGGGCTGCGGTTGCCCCGGCTGGGAGTTGGACTGCGGTGGAAGTGCCCAGGGTTCACAGGTCTGGGCAAACGTGGCCGTGAAGGAAGGAGGTATGAGACCCCCCTTCCCTGTTCCCAGGGACATGGACCTTTGATCGCTTATTGGAATAGGAGTGTAAGCAAGTCAGGTGTATGTTAACGTGGTTATACAGAACAGCAGGCAGCGGATAAAAATCATGTCTGTTTGCTGCGCCCTCACCCAGGTACGCCTGCCTTCTGGTTTGGGTTCCCAAGGCTCTGCCTACATTCCTTGTAGTAACAAAGTCAGAAATAGCCACAGGGTTTTGTAGACTTTAGACGCACAGAAACCCACATGCATAAGTAAATACTAGGTGAGGGGACTCCACCTCCAAGTGTTTTGTGTGTGGTTTCTGGTGACTGGAGCTCTGCTTTCAGGGTTCACAATGTCTCCTGAATGCCTTGATAGGATTATTTTCCCGTACGTCTCCGTGGCCCGTCCATTCCTCTTTCTGTAATCCCATCTCCTGGGGCAGGAGAAGCAGCTCTGGGTTTATAGTATGCCCAGAATCCTGTAGCTGGGATTATACTTTTTTGTGCTTGCGTCTCACAAGGCCATTCCTCTCTCCTTTCCTTTGGTGATGCTTCTTTCCCACTGAGCTCCAGCAAGGGAAAGTTCCTCTCACCTACTTGTGAAAACATGAATCATTCCTCACCTTTCCTGTCCCCAACAGGCTCTGTGTCTGCATTCTGTACGCTAATAATGTGGCAGTGCATAAATTAGGAGTGTGGCAAATCCCTCTAAAAGGAGCCGTCTTGGCTGTCTCGGGAAGAGCCATGGTTTCTGGAATAAGTTGGTGGCCATGGAAGGGGCGAGGGAAAAGGAGCTGTTTAGAGGGGGAACTGCTGTTGGTCGAGGTGTTTGCGGCAGAAGTTGAGGTTGGCAAGGAGAACAAACTCTGTGGCTGTGGTCCTTCCACCTAGTTGGTTTTCTGTAGAAGGTGAGTAGGCTAAGCCTGGGCATGTCGATGGGGTATAGCAGGTCAAAGGGTTAGCTAATCACCTCAGGTAAAGGGATGAGGAAAGGCCTGAGCTGCTAAAAACAAACAGCCAGCACACCTAGGTAGGCAACAGAGACAGAGAGGCTCAGGTAGACCAAAGGAGGAGCCTGTGATCCCATCAGCAGAAGCGTGTGGAGATAAGCAAATGACATTCCTAGTCAGTGTGCACCTTGCAGGGTTCAGTTCAGTGAGATGTCTCCTCCCTATCCCCTGTGCTGGCCCCCGCCTAGGGGCGATGGAGTCGCTTGCTCCTGGCAGTCTGTCTGTCTCTTGCAGCCCTTGGGTCCTGTGCTTCACCACTGCTGAGGTGCTGGTCTAGGGCTGGGCCAGAGAGTGCTCCTTCTCATGGGGTTTATTATGCATGTCTCTTCTGGTGCCTCACGTGGTTATCACTGTCCAGATGCCAGATACTGTAGGTTACAAGGAGCAGTACCATCTCTCTTCACAGTAGTATGAAGTGATCACCCACTGAAACCTTCTTAGGAGGGATTTCCTGCCCTCTCCCAGTCTCTGAACAAAATGGTGGGGGAGAGGTTCAATTCTCCTTCATTCCTAGAATGGGAACATGGAAAGCATACTTGAAAGAGTCATGTTCCTGCAGCGTTTCTAGCTCATGCTGTCCCTGGACATCCAGGAGGTCAGGAGAGGTGATAGAAGCCATGTAGTAAGTGAAGTATTTCAGGATTAAAAACGGTACCCAGCCTCTGGGTGAAGTGGGGAGGTCTCTTCTGGAGTCTTACATGATTCACTTCCTGTTTCTGCTCTGACGCTGTGTTTTCTCTGCTTCTTTTCTCAGCACGACTGAACCATGGAGCTTCGAGTGGGGAACAAATACCGTCTGGGCAGAAAGATCGGCAGCGGTTCGTTTGGAGACATTTACCTAGGTGAGTGTGAGTCTCTGTCCTTCCACCTGCAAGGTTGTTTTTCTCAATTGCGTCATTGTTTTGGGGTTGTTTTTCTTGCCCATTTAATATTTGTGGGCACCGTGTAAGGTTGGAGGGTGGTGGAGACAAAAAGAGCTTCAAGGAGTACAGCTAGTTGCTGCCAGTCTTCTGATGGCAAAGAAAGTGGGGTGAGCTCAGCTTTGCCTCGCAGGTGTTGGAGAGACAGTGGTGTTTGATCAGACTGATTTAGATTTGGACTCTTCAGAGCATATTTGTCACACACCCTACTCCAGCTCTCTTGCTTCCTTTTCTTGAGCTTGGGTGTGGGTGGGTGGTGGAAATGGCTGTTGTTTCAGGGTAAAAGGAATAAAGTTTTGGGAAGATCAGTAGTGGGAGAGGTGGTCTGTCACTCATAAGAGAGGTCTGAGACCAGATGTAAAACAGGTCAGGGAGGCTGGCCTGGTTAAAGTCCTGGGGCCTAGATCTGTTAGATCTGTAATGGGATTTAGAGTTAATGTCTGGAATGACCTGAGCTGGGAGCTCAATGGACAGAGCCCATGAGTCGCTGGGTTTCCTCTTACCACAGCAGGTCACTTGGGGAGAAGCTTTTCCAAGCCGGCACGCTGATGTGTAGATATGTTCCCTGGTGCTTTACCTGCTGATGTTTTTATTGGCTCAAACTGTGTGGGGCCAGGGTGGTGAGACTACCCAATAGCCTAAACGATCCCTCCGTGAGAGCTGGTGTGGCTTTACCTGTCGTTTAGGTCTCACCTCTACCTGTTTAGCTGTAGTCCTGCAGGCCAGCAGAATGATTTCCCTCTCCCTTCTTGGTGTTTGCACCCTTTGGGTACTTACAGATGGTCATCGTGTGTTCCTCAGCTGTTAATGTGCTCAGTTGAGTTATAGTTTGCTTCCCAGTACGTTCACCACTCCTCACTCTTGCTGCTCCTCTGATTTTTCCCAGTTTGTCCATCTGCTGAGCAGTTTGGAGCCTACACAGCATTCGAGGTATGGCATTTCCAGTGCCTGGCAGTGAAGGGCTACCCTTGAGTGATCTGTAACGTGATGCCTCTGCATAGACTGCTTTGGGTCTCCTTGGCTTCCCCCATCACCAACACTCTTATCAGGTTGCGGAATTGGCCTTAGCGCACTGTCAGCTGTATTGTAGAGATCTCTTCTAGGTTCTGCAACATCTTCCCATCTCTCCCCGAGTTCCTTTCATTGAATACCTCTTGTTCAGATTACTTTTCCCCGTGTTTGTAAATCACCTTCTGTTTTCTCCCTCTGGCTTTTATCTCCAGTTCCCTCTTGCTTTATTATTCTCTCTTGATTGGTGTTGGCAGCCTCTCTTGATTAAGTATCCTGTGGGAATCATCACTACAGGCTTTGTTGCCACCTCTATCCAGAGCATGAACAAAGATGATAAATAATGGATCTGGGATCCTAATTCCGCTGAATGCTGCCTTTACTACAGCCTACTCCTGCATGTCACTCCTCCGTGGCCCTCCAGCCAGTTAGTGTCTCAGGTGGCAGTGCTTTTACTTCCCGGGTCCTAAGGACTGAGGGGTGATAGCCCAGACGCACATTCACCTGTGCTAGAGTTTGAAGCCTTCCAGACCATCCCTAGGACAGTATAAATTGTTGGGATCTTGCAGAACATCTGGGGTACATGCTGAGAAAGAAGGGGGTAACTGAATGGCAGGGCCTGATGCTGTATTCCTCTGTACCATGTAACAGGTTGTCCACCTGTGGGAAGGGGACATGGAAAACAGGCTCTGGTGAAGGGGTTGTTCCCGCCTTGCCTGTAACCAAACAACATGAGAGGCAGAGGAAACACCAGCACCCTGGTGTGGTGAGCACAGCAGGATCCTTCAACTGCCAAGTTCAACCAAGTTACTTGAATGCAGTATCAAAGCCCTTGTGATGTTCATTGAGGTGCAAGCCAGCGTGTTTTGAAGCAGTGATAGCGAGACTTGTTGGAGCCTGGGTGACTCCCCAGCCTGGAGGGATCAGGCATGTAGTCTCTGATGGTGCGTCTGGAGGACGCTTGAGCTCATGCTATCCTCTCACGGTCTGCTCTGCAGACAGAGGGACTCATTCACGAGGACTTCTGTCCTGCACTGGGTTCACCTCACAGTTCTCTCTCTTGATAATGGTGTGTATCATGGTTTGGGCCTCAAACCAGGACAATGTGGAGACAGAGCAGAGACAGACAAGCCTTGTCTGTCTCTGAAAGTGAGCATGGGCAAGCTGGGTTTGTCCCTGTCTTCTCTCTTTCAGGATGTTAGTACCTTCAGCTACCCTGTGACCAGTGGGTACTGTGACCTCTGCTCTTTGGGATTTGTTTTGGGCTTTTTCCTTTCAGAAGGAAACTTGAATTTCTACGTGGGCAGACACAAAGGATGGACTCCTGTTAATCCTCAGCTGGGGCTTAAAGCACAATGCCTTGCTTCCATGCCCTGCCTTGGGGGATTTTCTTCCCGCCTGTGCTTGGGAAAGTGGGAATTGAGATGGGGCTGCCTGTGGGACTTGGCTAGCCCATTTCCCTCTAAAAAAGCTCACTCAGGAGAGCAAAATCCAGCTTGCAGCGGGATTGCTGAGACCTTTGGGCCGTCGGAGGAGAGGTGCTTTGTCAGAGGTGTTGGCCGAGGGGCAGGGCAGGGTTGCTGGACGCGCTAGGAGTCCCACCAGGCCGGGATGCACCAGAGGAGGACACGGGTGGTGGAAAGAAGCTGGGGAGACAAAGCATGCTGGGACCTGCCTTGGCTGGGGACAGTTCCTGGTGGCAGGCTCCTCCCTTGCTGGGAGGGGAGTGCCTTCCCTTTGTTTCCTGGCCTGTTAACTCTCTCTCGCCCTATCTGACTTCTTCCATCTGTTCCCAGCCCTCCTTTCTTCCCCTGCCAGGCTTGGTGGAAGAGGAGCCGGGGGGAGGCTGTGCCTGTTGGCTTGCCTGATGCGCAGGGAGGGCGGCGTTTATTGTATCAGACCTGCAGCAAGGCTTCCGCTCCCAAAAAAATCCTGTTTAGCCGGTGACATCCCCTGTCCCCGGGGCCCGGTTTCAAACAGCTCGTGATGAATGAGTTGAATTTGTGCAGCCCCCACAGCGGAGCGAGACTGGGGGTGGATGTTAGGAATTATCCCCAATCCTACATATGTCTCTCGAGTGGCTGAAGGCTCTGCTGCGTTCGGCTCAAACGGGAAGCGAGCAGAGAACTGTTGCTTTTGCAACCTGTGTCTTTAAAAAAGATGGTGGTTAAAGTGTGGAACAAAGGATCAGAGAGACTCCTGCCCTTAGACTCCCTCTTCACTTGTGGTGGTTTCGGTCTGGGTAGATTTCTATCCAAGAAATGGTAGAGGGAGCGACCTGAAGGCATAGGGGAATTTGGGGAGGGGGGGTGTGAGCCTAAAGTGTTCACTTGGTGACCCCCTCAGCGAAGACTAACTCCTCATTAGGTGTGATCGGTCCTACTTTCGCTGTTCCAGGCCACAGGGTTGTCTCTTCTTTTTCTAAGAGACTAACACCTGTGTTTGGGCTATGGAGAGCGTGGGGCTGAAGGCCATGTTGATCATTTGAATGGCATATTCACATTATGTAGAATATAAGTTTTCTTGATGCTTACCCCGCCTTTCCCTTTTCCTGCTTTACATGTTCACAGATAACACTCCCCACCTGCAGACAGCCTAGTAGATGGATGCATTGTCATCTTCCTAAACACACAGAGTAACGTGGAGATGAGAACTCATTCATCTTTCCACTGTTCAACTTTGGGGAGTAGGGTTCATTCGAAATGCTAATGCTACTGCTGCCAAAAGTTAGCGAGACTTATCATTGTGTGTTTGTCAGCAGATGGACTAGGAGAGGGAAGAAGAATACCCTCAGGGAACAGACAAGAGAGCTGGTGCAGAGCATTTGGAGGAAAGTCTTCACAAAGGCAGGGAAAAGAGAGAAAGGAAAGAAGCGCTCGTATCTTTTGGATGTCCTGGGTTTTTCATACTGAATGAGAGCCAGTGATTGAACTATTCTTGATTGAATTAATTTAAAAGGTAGATACTAGTTCAGGTACATGTTCTTATTGTGATCTGAGCCCTTTTTCCTGCTCTTTTCCTCTTTGCACTCCTGATGCTTGTAAGGAGGGTCCTGTGGTGGAGTATAGGGAATGTACAGACTTGTTTTGCTGCCAGCAGTTTTTAAGTGGAAAATGCCAGCATCTTTCTAAAAGTAACCCTTGGACAAATGGCTCTATCTCTTAGGATGGCTTTTCCCCTTTCCCTTCTCCTGGATCTTGAGTAAAACCCCTTATTAAATTCATCCCATTTGCTCCTCCTTTCCCTCCCTTGGAGCACCCTAAATAATTCTTCTCCCTCCTTAGTGTTTACAGCCTTCAAATATTTGCAGACTGTTGTCATGTCCCATTCTTCCTCCCCACCCTTCTTAGTTGTATCTCTTGTCTATGTTACATATTTAGCTCTTTTAATCTTTCTTAGTAAATCAATCCCTCTAGGCCCCAATCGTTTTTGTTCTTGTGTTACAAATTCCTAGCAGCTTGTCTGTCTCGACCCCGCGCTGTAGTATCTAGATGACGTCTTTTTGCTAGCAGGCAGCTTTTGGCTAACTTTGTGTACATGCCAGAACTCTTCAACAGGAGATGGATCTCCTTAGGATTCAGAGGGAGAAGGGCTGCAGTTGTGTGAACATTTCCTTTTTGTTTTTGGTCCCTGGCTCTGGAGGTGTTGTGTGAAAGAGGATGGACGGAGACATCTATCTGCAGCTGTCCTTGTGGACTCTGAAAGTCATCACATTGATCAAGAGGCATGAATTAACCAGACCTACCAAACTAGCTATAGAATATCTACAAAAAAGTCACCTTTGACTCCAGCTTATGTTTGGCATGCACGTTCTGGAGAAGTTTATTTTATGACAGTGTTCATAAATTGATCATGATTGGAGCTGCTCTATGATTTGTGTTTGAGTGTAATTTTTAATAATTTTAATAGAGGAAGGGCTTGTCTGTGCGTGTGAGGCAGGCATGGGAGGGGAGAGAGAGAAGCACGTCTTGAGTGTCATTCCCGTGACCCGTGTACAGATCTTCATTCTTTCCATTTTAGGATGATGTGAAACATCTGGAATCCTCTTGGCTAGGACGAGAGAAAGACCAGCCTGTTACTCCTTTGACAGTGCACTTTGGGACCAGAGTGCTGACTTTTGTGGCTGGCAGCTCAGTTCCTTTCAGAAAGAAGCATATGGGGTGATGGTTTTGTGTCATCGCAAACTATCTAGCAATACCTTCAACAAAGGCGTCTGAGTAACTTAATTCAGTACCGGATTTGGTTTATTTCTTCACGCTTCTAATTTAGGATATAGCAAATGTTTCTGTGTTGGCAAAAGATAAAGGTATTATTAAAGCCCTCAGGAGAGGGAGAAGCTGGAGATTTGGGAATTATCTGTATTGAGCAGGTCAGGGCTGTGGAGACACCAGAGGTAGGTGGGAATGTTAGCAATGTCTCCTCCTGAACTAATTGGCTCTGTTGAAACAATGTACCAGTAACAAAGGTAACCAGTAATTTTGCTCAGGAAGAGGTACTCCATATCACTGCCTGAGGGGCTGGCTTGGGTTCAGGGACTAGGTTTATGATCAGTGACAGCTAAAACTTCCACTCGGTTTTGGAACTGAGTACATACAGATTGACCTCCTAAAGTCTGGCACTTCTAGAGATGAGGATGCAATTAACACCTTGTGGGACTGTTGATCTACCTTGGCTGCCAGATCAGAGCTGGTTTCCTTTTCATGTGCCTTCCTCTGGGCTTGCCTTTGCAAATGGCAGTGCTGGAAACTCTGTATGAAGTTGAAGTGACTGAAATCTCATTTCTGTCACAGAAGATAAATTTCAGGACAAATCTTAAGGTTTTACCATCTGTATGGGCTTTGTTAAAATTGTTTAGCTTCAGTGGAAGCTTGCTTAATCTTCATTTCACCTCATTTATATGCAGGAGCCAATATTGCAACTGGTGAAGAGGTGGCCATCAAATTGGAATGTGTCAAAACCAAGCATCCCCAGCTCCACATTGAAAGCAAGTTCTACAAGATGATGCAGGGAGGAGGTGAGATGGGGAGGAAAAGATGGGGCCGGGGGAGTGGTTGAAGAAGGAAATTATTCTGGAGGGCCTTAGAAAGGAAAAGACTTGCTGTTGCATATGATCTTCTCGGTAGGGGATGCAGCAGTTTTCCTCTGTTCTGTGGGCTTAATCTTTCTCTTTCCCCAGTGGGTATCCCCTCCATTAAGTGGTGTGGAGCAGAGGGGGACTATAATGTCATGGTGATGGAGCTCTTGGGGCCCAGCCTGGAAGATCTCTTCAACTTCTGTTCCCGCAAATTTAGTCTCAAGACAGTTCTGCTCCTGGCAGACCAGATGGTGAGTTTCCTCTGAAGCATTTGTGCCTACTCTCCTTTTCCATGCCTTTTTTTTTTCTTTCTTTTTTTTTTTTTCCCCTTCTCTCCCATCCCCTCTGCTCAAGAACTGCTATATCCCAGGCTTTTTTCATTTAGCAGCAAGTGGCTGCCAGGTTTCTATTTCTTGATAAAGCTGGGGGCCTGGAACTTAGGCACTGCTGGCTTTTCTTGATCTCCACCCGTCCTTCCTTTCCCTGCTGCTCACTCTGTATTAACATTGAGTGCATTAGCTTTTTCCTGTGTGATGGACGACTGGCATTGCTACCTATCTCAACTCAACTGCCTGTGCCCTGGGTTTAAGACCCTTAGCTGATCTGGACCCTCTCATTTCCCAGACTGGCTAAGTTTGAATGTTGACCTGTGTCAATACTGAAACTCAAAGTTTCAGTCTGTACGAACTTGCTTCCCATCCTTCCTTGTGGTGCTAATGGTGACCTCCCTAGATGGAGGACTGGGCTGGTGTGCATGGTTGAATTCCATCTCCATTCTTCATTTCCATATCCTTCTATGTCCAGAGGATGTCTTTTTCTTTGGTTGTCATCTCTGATATTCTCTGCAAAATGTCCCTTTCCCTGCTCTGTCAAGCCACTGTCCTAGACAGGATACCTTTTCTTTTTTAACAGATGCAGTTACGATAAGTTACCTTCTCACTTGTCTCACAATTTATTTCTTTTATTCCACCTCTCCAGATCAGCCGTATTGAGTACATTCATTCCAAGAACTTCATTCACCGGGATGTGAAGCCAGACAACTTCCTTATGGGCCTCGGCAAAAAAGGCAACCTAGTATACATCATTGATTTTGGTTTGGCCAAGAAGTACCGAGACGCCCGGACCCACCAGCACATCCCTTACCGGGAAAACAAGAATCTGACTGGCACAGCCCGTTATGCCTCTATCAACACCCACCTGGGAATTGGTGAGCCTGCTGTTGCCCTCTTGGTGGGGCTTTCCAGGGGAGGTGGTGTGTCCCCAGAGGGAGGGGGGTGGGTTCTGTGCCTGGCTCCTCTGCTGACCTGTGTGGAGATGGTGGGCAAATAACTGTGAACGCCTGGGTTACCTCACCTGCCTTTTGTGGCACTCTGAGCTCCTGAAGGCAGAAGTTGTCTGCCAGTGTGTGTTTGTGCGCTGCTTAATACAATGGGGCCTATTTAGCAGCAAGGCTGTGACCTCCCTGACTTTACTGCTGCTAACTCTGCCATGGCAGTTTCTGCCAGCTGATTAGATATATAAAGGAGTCATTGGCAGGCCCTGAGCCTTCAGGGATATGTGCAATTGAAACCTCTCTTGTTGACTCCCGAGTGCCTTCATCGGTGGTTATTCTGTAGCTGTCAGAGCTGGAGGATACAGGCCCACGGCAACATGGTCATAGTCCTGTTACCCACCACTGAGGATGGGGACAGCCATGTGCTGGAAGTGTACAAGAAGATGAAGTAAGGGGAGGCTTCCTACTGCCTGGACATCTGGGTTTTGAGGATTGGCTGTCATGGACCTTCAAAATACATGTGTGCCTGTGAACCATGCTGCCCTCTTCACCACTGAGACTGAAGCAACTTTAGGGAGGTAGGGCTCTGTCCTTAGTGTCTATAGCTAGAACCATTGGGGTGAAACAAGGCTGGGAAAGTGCTGAGAGTTTAGACAGGTCTTACACTTGTGATGGCCATCCTCCCAGGTTTTGTAAAAACCTTGTGCAGGTTAGTACCTGCTGCACTTAAACCTCCTGAAGTCACCCAAACTCCTGTCCTGGGAATGAGCCCCTGGTGCGTAACGCCTGGTTGCTGTGAGGAAGAGGTGGAAATCTCTTGCGGTTTTCTCTTCCGTTCCCTGACTGGAAACTTCTCTTCAGTGTGTGACTTCTTTCCCCTGCTAAACTTTGGGTAAACTTTGTCTGTCCACAGTGTGAGGCTTTCATAATTACTGTGGTGTCTGTTCTCAGTGGGCTCATTTGGTTCTGCTACTGATCCAAAGAGCAGAAACACTGAAGCTGCCCTGGCTGTGGACCCAGAAAAATAGCTGATGTGCTCGCAGCTCAGTTTGCATCTTGGGGAGACCTTCTTCTGAAATATGTAAGATGGGAATTTGAAAATCAGAGCAGGGAACTCAAACCTTTAAAGCTAACAGCTTCCACAGGATTTTGCGTCCTCATTCTTCTTAGGGAAAGTTTCCCATTCTTCCCTCTTGCAGATGGTTTCTCAGAAATCTGGACTTGACCTGCAAAAAATAAAGCAGTTTCCCCACTGTCTTCCTTGCTCAATACTGTAAAACTACAGACTGAAAATGTGTTATTTATATCGAAATGGGGAGTGTTGTATGTTGAGAGTGGGCTGTGATCTCCTGACCTCTTCCACGTAGTGAAAATAGTTCTCATAGGGCTTTCCAAGTTGGTCTTCTGTATTTTGGCTTGGCCTGCTTATATATAACTGCCTCTCCATTGAATTCTCGGTCAAGATTTCCACAGCCATGGTAACTGTCACAAGGAGACATGCACAAAATAATTCTCACTACTATGTCTGTTGATACTTTAGCGTGTGCCTGCTCTGTCTGAACTGATCATAAGAGGCTAAATGCCTGGTTGCGGGGTTGTTATTTCTTTTTGAAGGACTTTTATTATTCATCCCACCCCAACTTAGCCCTTTACTACTGGTGCTTGGTTTGTGTATTGGGAAGAACAAACACTGTTTGAACACTAATCCGAGGGCAAACTGCATATGCCATGGGTCTGAGTGCAGCCATTGCTCTCTTCATGCCCTTTGCTTTGGGAAAGTCTGGGTGTGAGTTGCTCTGCGCAACAGGTCTCGGGTGTATTATCTCCATTGCAGACAGTGTCCCTGAATGGCATAAAGGTTACATGGCTTGCCCGGAGGACAGGGGATTGGGGGTCTCAGGGTTGCAGCTGGGGTTCCTGTTTCTCAAGACCTTGCCCCAGGGTGTATGACAGACACATTTGTGAGTTAGCAGCATTGCCATGGGAACCGTCACTCTGAATTTTTTGACTTTCCAGAGACTAAATTATCTGTCTTAATGTTACATTACTGTGGTTTAGGGAGAGGGAAGGAACCAGGTGCTGGGGTATTCGTGTGACAGGAATAGCAAATGAATAAATGCCTTTATTTGAATGTGCAAGCTAAGGGTTGGGCATTCCGATGTCTGGAGGAAACACATTCTTTTCCCAGTGACCGGGGGAAAAAGTAGGAGGCGAGATTGGGGAGGGTTTCCACAGCTGGAGACTTGCTGTTGGGGGAGTCATTGGACTGTGCAGGCTTTGGTTCACACATTCCAGTCAATTTTCACATGCTCTGGGGATGAGAGTCCTTGCACCCTCTGGAGCTTGTAAAGTCTCAAATAGATGCCCAGGGGTGCCCAGGAGACAGTCCTGGAAGAAGCCTGGTGGGTTCTGTCTGGATAACAGGGGGCTGGGAGGAATTCCTCCCCAACACATGTCCTAGATGGCATCAGCGTAGGCTGTGCAGAGCATAAAGTTATTCTGCTCGTCCTGCCCTCTTGTCACCCATTCCGCATTTTTGTGTGGTTTTAAAGGCTGTTGCCATGCAGTGGGGAGAGAAAGGGGAAGTGTGGCCTCAGCATGTGAAAAGTCAGATCTCAGTTTATAGTCAGGAAAATGTTGCTTTGTTGAGACTCCTTCCCCCAGTGAAGACAGCTGATTTCTAGGGAGTCCTCCATGGGAACAGCATCGCTTTGGATAGGATCAGGGTGAGGGGAAGCACTGTCCTGGGTGACCAGGAGGCACTTTGCACCACAAACAAGTTTTGTCACGAACCTTGCATCCGAGGCAACCAGTCCTTAGTCTCCTGTCTTTGCCCAAGCATGTCTTCCCCAGGTAGCTCACCGTCCTGCTACTCGCCCCTGACTCATCTCCTTGTGAGGACCCTGCTTTGGGAATGGAGTGAGGGTGCAGGCTGGCTGGGAGCCTCCTGGGAGTGGGAGGGAACTGGCACCAGTTGCTTGCAGAGTGGGTTGGGTTTGATGTGGGGTCATGCTGGGTTGCGTGGGAAGGCTACCTTGTGTTTCATGTTGGAAGGGGTTTTGCAAGGGAAGGAGGAAAGGATGAGTGTCCTGTAAAAGTAGAAGTCCCTCATCTATTGTATGAGAGCTGAGAAGCTGAAGTAAAATGGAGAGAGGAAGTGTGGTGTGGTGTCACAGGTCATGACTGCAATCCTGCTTCTGGACTGACTTGTTCTGGGCATGCATCGACGTCACTTCTGTTTCTCTTTCTCTTCTCAAACTGTAAAGTGAGATCTTTTGCCTACGTCCCAGGCATGCTGTGAGAGTTAGTCAACGATTGTCAAGCTTCTAAAAGTAGAAAGTTGTGATGTTAAATAATGTTTCTTTGGTGTGTGGAGATGAACTTTTTTTCCTAACTAATTGACTACTCCGCTTTTGCTGTCTAATGTTGTCTGGTATCCTGTGGCTGTTGGTATATGAGACCAGGCAAAAAAAAAAAAAAAGAATTTGGAGATAGCTTAGGGACATGTAATAGTAACTTAAGATGAAACAAAGAAATGGGATGTAGGAACTGTTTTTCTTCACCATCATTCAAGGATGATTCATGCAGGATGTTGTAGTTAGGGTTAAAGGTGAAAGACAGCTACAGTGTTTTCAGGTAGCTTGACAACTGTGACCCATCATGTTGATGCTTCTGGCTTCTCATGGATTTGAATCTCACTGAAGTTGTTGAAGTGGGCTGCAATGACCACATGTACCTAAGAAATGATACTTTCAGGGGTGCAACACAATCAGATATTTATCATTCAGCATTTTAATAACTGGTTATCCTGCTTACAGTTATTTTTCCTTGACCATATTGCTGTGTTAAGGCATAGCTGAAGTGTGTTTGCATGCATGTAATGGATACTAGCGAGCTGCCCAGTTTGGTTTTGTAACCCCCTCTCCTTGCCTCCAGTAAGGACATGTAGCTTCACCACTGACTTCAGTCTTCCTAACCTCAAGTCTCCAATTCTGGCCTTCCCCAAATCACTAGGACTGTGCCTAGACGTGTTTGCAGAACATCTCCTGTTGTTGGTAGCTGCACTAAAAGCTGTTGTTCTCCACACAAATGGAGATGTGTGGTGCAGCCTACCTTAAGCAGTGTGGAGTTCAAGCAGGGTTTTGGAGGCAAGATACCAATTTATTTCTAAAAGGCTGATTTGGCTGTTCAGTAGGTTTCTCTGGTTCCTGCCCTGCCTTTCCCTACTCCTTTGAGGGGCAATTCCATGCTTCAGACAGGGAACCCACAGTTACAGGCTTGAAAGCTACAGCATGGATAAGTTGAGTGCTGGCAAATTGCAGGATTGAGGTTACCTTTGCCACCTGTGCTTTCAGGTCCTGGATGTGCGCTCTGGTTCCCATTTCCACAGGCCTCCTGTCTCAGGATGTAGGTCATTATCAAATATTGTTTAGTTTTATTTATTTGGTATGTGTGGTGTGTAATTGCAGCCCTCTGAGAGTACACGTGTCCCAGCCTTAGGCTAAATGCAAAACTGGGAGTTTCTTTTCCCTTCTCCCTTCATAGCATCTGAGTGTCTCTCAGCCAGTTCTGTAGTTATCTTTGGCAGCAGTCTGATAAGATTAGGGAGTATTAGCCCCTTTAAAGTGGGCAACTTGAGGCACTAAGTTAGAGAGGTCAAAAAATGCTGTTATTTCTCCATGCTCCAAGTAAGACACTTCGGGGATTTGGATGTCTGCTTTCTCCTCTACTCCTGTCTTGGAACATGGAATTTTTATGGCATTACATGTGCTGTGAACCAAAGGCAAACCAAATCTCCTCTCAGTTATGGAGTGCTGACACCCTCCTTTTCTTCTGCAACCACAGTGCTTCCCCCCACCCCAATATTTTTAATTTGCCAAGACTCTTAGTCCTCAAAAACACTAGGAGGTTATGAGAGGCATGCAGGAGAAGGGCCCATGGTGACCCACAACTTGCATTGGTACATCTGGGCATCTAGATCCATGACCTGCTACAGCTATTCCTATATCAGGATTCAGTTCAGCTAGCAAAGTAAGGGGTAGCTGTAACAATCTACTGGCCTTTGGATGGGGCAGGTGGTAGCATGTAACTGATACTGAGAATTAACCCACAGACCAATACATAATCTGCAGCATCTTCTAGGACGTGGCACTGAATTCAGCAAAACGTAGCCATATTTTGCCTCTTTTATCTGTGTAGGTTGTTATTCTCCTCAAGATGTAAAGTGCTTTCTTCATAGTGTTTATTTTACTTTTGGGAGGGACCAGGGGCAAGAGCTTCTTGGCAAAATTTATAGATGAATTTGTGGGCATGTTGAAGGATTTGGGAGGAGTTTGCAAGTTAACCAGTCAACACTTTAAGTTGCTGAGATTCTCTATCAACTCTGTCCTGAGCTAACTTGCAATTTAAAATGGCTTGGCCATTCCAGGGAACAAGTTCAATGTGGAATGTTTTTGTTTGGGAAACAAATTTTTTTGATTCATAAATAAGCATCTAAAAGCAGGCCTTTACAAAGGCATACTAAGGGCAACCCTTGTTCTGAAGTAGAGCTGGTAGTGATTGATGGCAGTTACACAGTCATTCCCCATTTGGAGGGGAACCTTTTGTTCTAAGTATACCTCTCAATTCATGCCTCTTTTCTCCTCAGCTTGAAAAAATGCCACCAGTCCTGAAAGATATTTGCACAGTATTACATGTTAGGCTTCTCTAAACTATCCACAAAGTCATTTAGCACAAGAAGGGGTCGCTAGTTCCTCTTTTTTTCCTGTGTAAAGAGTTTCAGCAGGTTAATTAGAAGATGTATTTAAAAAGGTTGTGTTTGGCTTACCTGTCTTAGCTTTGTCTTTCCCTGACTATCTCTGCCATGACTAATCCCCAGGGTGAAGTATCATTCTGGGTGGAGAAGTGTAGATGCCCTTCCTCTGGGACTGGGAAGGAGAGGAGGCAGTCTTGCTTGCACTTCTTGAGCTGTTGAATTCTTGTGTGAATTAAGGCTTGCCCAAGTGAGGAGGTAGACAGAGTAATTACTCATTTATGAAATGGGTTGGGCTATATGGGGAGAGGAGCGCTTTAACTCTGGCAGTATGAACATCCCCATGGGAATTTGTACTGGAATGTCTTCTACAAGTTTGACTATCCGTAGAAATCTACCAAAGAAGAGAGAAGGGTGGTTTCTTTTGTTCCGTGTTCACCTCCAAAGCTGTGTGATTGCCAAAGTGGTTTTGGTTGTTGCTCACTCCTTGCCCCTGTGTAACTTCTTCCCACAGAACAAAGTCGCCGTGATGACCTGGAGAGCCTGGGCTACGTGCTCATGTATTTCAACCTGGGCTCGCTGCCCTGGCAGGGCCTCAAGGCTGCCACCAAGCGCCAAAAGTACGAGAGGATCAGTGAGAAAAAGATGTCAACGCCCATTGAGGTGCTCTGCAAAGGCTACCCTTGTAAGTGCTCCCATCTTGATGGCTGTCCTGTCTGGTGCATGGCTTGCTCTCCTGCTGAGACCCCATGAAGTTTTGAGTCCCGAAGGCCAATGCCCAGTACCCCCAGACCGGGGTGTGTTGCTGACACCAGTCATGAGAAGGTTAAGAGACCAGCGGTGATACAGTTCTGGTTCAGAAGTGGGAAATGTGTTTTTGTGGAGAGTTGAGCCTTGTGTTAGTAAGGGCATGAGGGTGCTGAGAGGGATCTTTAGGATCTCAGAAACGGTTTGGAAGGGAGGTGGGCAGCGAGCTGAGAAGGTGTGCTGCTGATCATCCTAAGTTAGTTTGGGTAATGAGGATGAAGGCCAACTGTAATGAATCCCAGAAATAACCAGGCAATGAAGTGGTAAGTGCAGTTCTTTGTAGGTAAAAGTGGAGTAATGTATGTGAGGGGAGAGTAGAAGCCTTGGTCCTTCTGTCACGTGCAGAATAGTAGGCTCTGAGCTGGCCAGTGCCACTCACCAATGCGCTGTTGCAGCTACAATATATGTTTCTGTGAAGGTATCAACTTTGCGCTTAGTGACTGCTGAGGAAAACGGATCAGGTTTAGGAATTACTAGGAAAGAAAAAAGCACAACCAGTGTGCATAAAGCCATGGCCCGCTCATACCTTGCATGCACTCTGCAGCTCTGGTCCATCCCGCTATTTCAGAAGGGATGCAGTAGAACTGGAAGAAGGTCCAGGAAAGGGCCAAAAGGGTGATCAGAGGTGAGGTGATTTCTAAACAAGCAACAAGTGAGTGGGCTGGAACATGGAAAAGAGGTGGTTAGAGAGGTGATAGAAGTCTGCACTCTCACTATGCCTCCAGAAGTTCGGGTGGGAGTTGATTATTTGGTGGCTCCGGCTCTTGGATTTGGAAGAGAAACAAAGCAGGTTCCTGACAGCTTAAAAACAATGTGTTTCTTCACTCAGCCAGTAGCAGACGTGTGGAACTCCTTCCCAGAAAATGATGTGGGTTGTTAAAGCTTGCAGGAGTCCAAGGAGATAATGGACAGAGACATGGAAGAGAGATCTGAGGGTTGTTAAATAATTAGAAAGCACATCCAGATCAAGAAGTTCCCTGAGATGAAAATAGATGGGAACTGGGATAATGTCAATCTAAGTGTCAGGCATACTTGTCCCGGTCTTTCTCTTCTGTAGCGGCCTACCTCTGGCTGCTGGACTAGGAGGACCTCTGGTCTGGTCTGAGCTGAGCACAACTAGTCTTTCACAATTCACCTGCCTTCCTGTCTGTGTTGCTGCTCTGAACTGCATTGGTCATCTTCACACCACGTAGGCCTGGCTTCCCAAAGCTCATCTCAGCCTGTTCTTTAGGGCTGCATTCTTACTCACCTTCAGCAGGCTCTGTGAATTAGTACTTCTTGCTAAGAAGCAGACAGAAAAGAGATGCACAAGCATTTCCTCTGATAAAAATAGGGATGAGATCTCATCAATAGGGATGAGATCTCATCATCACCTTTGGCCAAAGCACTGCAACCATCAGGCTCTGATTTCATTGCACAGCTGTGTGTGCCATCTGGGTCCAGCACACTGGGTGTGCTGAAGGGCTGTGGTGGCTCTGTGGTGGGACCAGGAGGTTTGGATGGTGTTCAACAACCAGCTGTTCTCTGCTCTCTCCAGCTGAGTTCTCGACATACCTCAACTTCTGCCGCTCACTGAGGTTTGATGATAAACCAGACTACTCATACCTGCGGCAACTCTTCCGCAATCTCTTCCACCGCCAAGGCTTCTCCTACGACTACGTCTTTGACTGGAACATGCTTAAATTTGTGAGTGTGTGTGTGGGAAAAGGCTGGAGGGGCAAAGGGTGATTCGTGTCATGGAGATGGGGGAGGAAAGTTGAAAACTGCCTGCCATTTTTACTTAACCCTGGTGAACAACTTAAAAAAGGGGACCAGGTAGAGTGAAAAGAGGAAGAGTTACTTAGTGGTGCTAACTGGGGGTATAGCTACTGTTGTATTAGTGTGTCTGACGGAGCATGTGTGGTGATAGATCTATAGCTATAGGTAGGTAGAGACAATTTTTTTTCAAGAGAGAACTATGTTTGGAGGTGAGACACAGATGTGGATTGTAATATCAGCTGTAGTACCATATGCTTTCGTCCCTGATTCTTCATGAAAGATAATGAGGCCCTCTCTGGGTGGATTGGAAGGTGGTGGTGGGAGAACATGTTTTGGGGATGGAGCTCCACTTTCTTGGCATGATGGACCACTCTGTGTTTTCTGTCTGGGGCTGCTGCTGTCTCTCTTGCCTGACATCTGTGTGTGGAATGGCCTTTTCTCTTGTCCTCAGGGAGCAGCCCGGAACCCTGAGGATATGGATCGGGAGCGGCGAGAGCATGAGCGAGAAGAGAGGATGGGGCAACTCCGAGGTTCAGCCACACGAGCACTGCCCCCCGGCCCACCTGCTGGAGCCACTGCCAACCGTCTTCGCAATGTCACTGAGCCCATGGCCTCCACCCCCACCTCCCGAATCCAACAGTCCGGTGAGTGGGGTGGGAGAGCTGGGAGAGGGCGCCACCCTTATTGCCACCCAAAGTATTGACTGATACTCCTGTCTCACGTTTCTCTGCCCCGACAGGAAACACGTCTCCCAGAGCAATCTCAAGAGTGGACAGGGAGCGGAAGGTCAGCATGAGGTTACACCGAGGAGCTCCTGCCAATGTCTCCTCATCTGACCTCACAGGGCGGCAAGAAGTGTCACGGATTTCAGCATCACAGGTGAGTCCCCACTGCGATATTTATGGCCTTGGCCTGGATGTCCCAGAAGGACTAAGGGCCCCACAGCAGTTTTTACCTCATCTACTGGAGCTCACATGAGCTTCAACAGTGTCGTGAGGGGAGTAGTACTGGGTTATGCCTTGGCTCTTAAGTTACATATTTTCTGGAGGCCATGCTCAGTACTGTCTTAGCTCTTTGCTCAGAGTAAGCCGCCATCATCTTCCAGACTGTAGCGGTTTGGAGAAGTGGAACAGTAAGCTCTTGGGAGGGAGGATGTCCTGAGAGAAATGTGCAGCCACTGTGTTTTGGTGTCCTTCATGCCTTTTTATTCCTCTCCATCCTTTACCTATTATTCCTCTTCTTTTGTAGACAAGCGTGCCATTTGATCACCTTGGGAAGTGAGGAGCAATTGCCACTGGACCAGTGTTTGCTTAGGTGAGCCTCTCCTTGTGCCTGGGATCTGCCAAGGAGAAAATTGCTGGGATTAGGTTAAAGCTTTGATGTTGGTGTGGAGGATTGGTATGTTTCCTTTCCCTTCGCTTTGCTTTGAGATAGTTTTTTGGCTTCAGAGGGAAAAGTAAAACTGGCGGCCAAAGCCTTGGAGGGGATGGATTATCTTGGGCGTGAGGGTAGCTTCCATTTCTCCAGGAGGGCAGGAAAAGTGGAGAAGGTGCTGGGCTGGGGAGCTATTTCGTTAGTTCCTAATGAATGCTTTTCTGGAAGTGTGATGGCTTTGGGGAGGCCAGTGCTGAGCACGTAATGAAGTGTGCGAGACTTTGCACAGCTAGCGAGTGCCTCTTGTAGAGGAATCAACAGTAGCTGGAGAAGGTAACTCCAAGGGGTGGCAGGAGTGTAGAAGAAAGGGCTGATTTGATTTGTTACACTCCAGGTGTCATTGGAATTGCTGGGAATAGCCATTTTGTCTAATGTCCTCTTTCCTTTTTCTTTTTTTTTTTTTCCTCTTTTTAGTGTCTTCACTGTATTTTTCTTTTAAAAAACAAAAACCCCAAAAAACAAACAAAAAAACCTAAAAAAAAAAAGACAAAAAAACAAACAAACAAACAAAAAAAACCCAACAGAATTTCTTTTTGCCAACGACGAGGAGTCGAGCTGTGCCCCCGCGCTGGCGTGAGCCATTTCCGAGAGGGGCCACCTGCGTCCCCCAGCGCGAGCGAGCGCCTCCGAGAAGCTGTCGACGTGGGAGCCATGCGGGAACACCTCCGCTGCCCCCCCAGCCCACTCTGGCCCTACCGTTGCCCCCCACTACTTACCCCCAGCTCCCTTTCCTGACTCTCTGCTCCTGGTTTTGGTTTCTTTCGCTTTTTTTTTTTTTTTTTTCTTTTCCCCTTCTTTTCTTCTTGGATATTTTCTCCTGCCTTTTTTTTTTTTTTTAATTTTCAAATTATATGGTTTCTAGCCATATAAACTTTAACTTGACTCTCTTTTTTTTTTTTTTTTTTTT